AAAAAAAAAAAAAAGCTTATATTTCTTACAGTTTCTTCATAAAATAAGCAAAAAAAAAAGAAACCTTTTTGTTTGTTAAAAACAGCATGTTTGAGATCTTTTTATTACCTGCGCTATACATAAAAGTGTTACTTCTGATATGTGAACTGATAACACTGATTAGGTGATAGTTTTGTTCTAACAACCCTTTACCTTCACGCTGAAACAGTGTCGGTAAAAAAAAAGAAACCTCTTCTGATAAAAAATTTTAGATTTTGCTAATAATCACTGAAGGAAGCATAATCAGCAGCACTTGCAATACAGCTTCTATTTTACATGCAGCTAAAAGTTAGTCAAAACTAGGATCACCTTTCATTGAAATTTTAGATAAGACTAAAATGAGACAACTCTTTTTAGTTAAATTTTGATTGGAATACAAAAGAAATAAAATTTTCTGTTTTACCACTACTTGCATTATGTTTTGTCAACATTAATCAGACAATCTTTTGTTGAAGGTTCTAGGCTGATAACCGTAATAAATTATAGGTGCTTAATGACCTGTAATATCAATTTATGTGACATCTGCTTTTTATCCAGAAATTACTTGTTAGTTTTACTAAAAGCATTTCCTGATTATGCAGTTGATTTTTTTTTTTTTTTAATGGTGCTGGCTTAGAGTAGTTCAAAGAATTCAGAATTGTAAAATATTTAATGGCCAATTATCTACGCCTCTGAGACCACGTTAAACTTCATTTCAGCTACTAATCGCTGACTTAAAATCTAAGTTATGTGTCATTTGCAAATTGTTAATTGATCGTTTATTTATATGAAACCCTATGGACTTTTTCTACATCACTTTTTCTCAATTATAATTTAAGTATTACCAGTGGTAGATCTATTCATTGCAAAATTAACCGCATCCAATAACTGGTAAGTTTTTGAGAAACTAGTCATCACTTACTTCAAAAGCAGAATTTAAGCGAATGTATGCAAAACTGAAAGTACTCTCAAATGTTTTACTCTCAAAGTACTCTCAAAACCAGAGTGTTCATCTTTGTATTTCCAAGATAAGTTATAGCCAAGTATCATGTCAGCATTTGAACTGTGGTCTCCAAAGTATGACATTAGAATTATTTCGTTTAAGAATTTACAAAAAGATTACAGCAAAATGCACAATTCTTTGATTTTTGTATCAAGCAATACTTTCAGAAATTTATCAATTTTTTTCCTACTACGTGGTTGCAATCTTAAAACAAAAATAAATTAGGAAACAAGACAGTCTAATTAAAATTGATTTAATTTGCTATTATTTAATATTCTATAACCTTTCTTTAGGCAGATTTTTTTTTGACACATAGTTCTCCAGATCTTCAGTCTTGTGGTAACAGGTAGCTAAATCTACTGCAGTAAATAGGAAACTGCCGAAATTGCATCTGAAATTTCAGCAAAGAACAAATTCGTGGATATTACTGCTGAAGTTGTAGTTTCTTGTAGAGATATCAATTATAGCTGATATCTCATTCTCTGCTATAATTGTTGCTTTCTTAAGATTCTGTATTTCGGACAAAAAAAAAACAGTTTAAATTTGTAAATATTGCTTTTTTTGATATTGATTTTAGGCAGTATATTCACAGTCAGAACCATTAAATAAGAAAGTTTTTGAAGTTTCAGAAAACAAAAAAGACGTTTGTCTGACAAATAAAGATCGAAACACGCCAAGGTATTATTATTATCGGTCATTCGCTGTAAAGTCAAGTTACTAAATCAGCCAAAGAATTTGCGATCTAATAGAGAAAACAGCAGCAAAAGATTAAAGCAACAAACTTTCTCACGATTCATGGAGATGAGTTTCTAGACGACCATAGCTGCTTCTGCTTTGAATCACTACTGGAGGGGCTTTACGATCTGTGTGACCATTCACCTCCTGTAAACTGAGGCTAACATGGATACTTACGATCCAGCACTGTCTTCTGTCTGCGGCACTAACAAAGACATTTGAGTGACTCGGACTGTCAGCTACGTTGCAAAAAATTTGGTTAACTTATCCATAGTGGTTAACTTATCCATTGTCATTAGTGTGAAAATGCGATACTGTAATCTCAACTTTTGTAACGTATTTTGTCAAATAATCATTTTGATTGCTGTAATCTGTAGACTAGTGATCAGTACAAAAA